CCTTCCAACCCCTATGATTCTATTTGTCCTATTTCTATATGCCTCAAACAGTCTGGCCCTGTCTTCTCTGTACCCTCCATTGGGTAACTGAAGACAGCTGCAGGGTTATTCCCTTTCCATCTTCTCTCAAGGTGGATCAAACCCTGTTCTCTCCCAGCCTTTCTCGGTACTTCATGTGCTCCTCCCCTCATCACGTGTACTGCTGTAAAAATGTTGCCTTGTTTTTTAAGCCTCTGAGGTGTCCTGTGTGTGTCTGAATAAAACCTGTCTTGATATTTAAGATTGATAGGCTCAGGCCCATTTTCTAGATTAAAAAGCCAACTTGGAAACTGAATCTTTCTAGAGTTTTTTTAGCCTTTTTTAGATAATTTTTTTTTTTTTTTTAGAAATTAACTTCTGTGTTCTTATTTTACTAGATCATTGGAGAAATTTCCAAGAAAGTGGCACAGATTCAAAATGGTAAGATTTTTCTGATGATGTTTTACTCTTTTGCATCTCCAACCCTAAGCAGTAAAAGTCACATCTCATGTGAACTATACTGTTCCTGTGGCAGAAATTCTGAAATTAACTTTGGTGCTTTTAGCAAGGTGCTTAATTTATTACCTTTTTTCCCCCCTCTAACAGCTGGATTAGGGGAATTCAGAATTCGGGACCTGAACGATGAAATAAACAAACTTCTGAGGGAGAAAGGACACTGGGAATTCAGAATAAAGGAGTTAGGAGGTCCTGATTATGCTGTAAGTGTAGATTATTTTGTACTACATGACTGTTCTGCGTACAAATAAAGTTACTAATGAGAAAAATCTGTACAACATTTAGTTAACCATGTATTACTTGCCCGGCATTTATTAGAGAGGAACTTTATTCAGCCCCTAAAAGTGTTAGGTTGTGCTAGAAGAAATAATTGTTTCTATAATGAGCAAATCAGACTTTTCATTTAGAACAGCAGTTCAAGAGGTCTTGCCTTCCTGTATAGAGTTTGCCGCAATGTTTTGCACTTTGGTAGGTGTTGTTTTTCTACACTGTACTCTTTCTGTCGAAGGGTTTTTGCCTTTGGCTCACCTAGTTAGTACTGAAAATGAAATAAAGCTACTAGCTCTCACTTGCCAAAAATATCAAAAGCATGTTTATTGTCAGATTTAATAGTGCTTGTTCATCTGATAGGTGAATATACTGATACAGAGGATAATGTATATCATGAAATTTAATTTGGTATGGGTTCTGTATGGTTTGTGTGGTCACTTTAAACGTGTGATTTGTAGTAAAAGTAGAGAACCTGTATAAAAAGGAGCTATGAGGGTGTTCTTCTTGCAGGGTAGTTGAATTTGTATAACATATCTCCTTTCTCAAGCCTTTAATCTTTATTAAGATGCCCAGGAGAGCAGTAAATAAAAAAAACATGAGGAATAAAATTTTAAACAATGATCTCTGTTTATTTTTCAGCGGATTGGACCAAAAATGTTAGATCATGAAGGGAAAGAAGTTCCAGGAAACAGAGGTTACAAATACTTTGGAGCTGCAAAGGACTTACCAGGAGTTAGAGAACTTTTTGAAAAAGAGCGTAAGTAAATAGCAACTTCTCCAAGACATCAGTCTGCCTGGTAGTATCTCTTGAGTAAAAGGTCTGCTGCAGTACATGGGGAGTACAAGTAATGACATATCCTGGCCTATGCCTTAAATAGGCTAAATGATATGCTGAACGTGAGTAATTAATTAAGTGCTATTTCTTTGGGCAAGGAACACCTTTGACTGCAATTTACTCAAACAAATAGAAAAGAGGAAACTGTTTTCTACCAGGAGTTCTAATGTTCTATAGAAACCTTCCAGCACAACAAGTTAACTTTATTGATAAGTTCTAAATTGTACTCTAAATTCAGAATTAAAAAAAAAAAAAAGTAGTTGACTTGAACATAATTTTGAAAGCAGGAATCAGCTTTCAGAATAGGAAAAATGAGATGTAAGTGGATAAAAATTCATTTTTTGATTTGTCGTAGAATGAGTGGGAGTTACTTGGACCTGAAAGTGAGGCAGGGCTACTGAATCAGCTCCTTGCCATCTGCAAATTATAATTATGGAAAGTACTACGTGATCTGGCAGAGTTTAGGACAGTTTTTCAGTTCTTTTCAAATGGTTGTGTTGCTCAGTACAGGGGAAGACCGACTGTTCATGGCAGTGTAGAATTGCCACAGTGTGGGAACAGTGCAACATGAAGCATCGAGTCCTGTCTCCAGGCAGTTTGCAGGCCAGTGTAAAACATGAGTACTCCTGATACTGGCAGCAGTTCAAATCCTGCACTGGTCGTTGTAACTGCTGTCAGGCTGCTACTGGGAGTGCAGAGCAAGCTTTCAGGAGGGACCTGTCTGAGTGAGTGACTGTCCTGTGTTCCTTGCAGCCCTCCCACCACCTCGGAAAACTCGAGCTGAGCTGATGAAAGCAATAGATGCAGAGTACTATGGCTACAGGGATGAAGATGATGGTATTCTAGAGCCACTGGAACAGGAACATGAAAAAAAAGGTATGTGAGGCTCAAAACCTGCCTAAATCAGTCCAAAAAGGGGGAGTGGTGGACTCTGAAGTTAAGATTTATTTTTTTTAAACCCCTGTAGGTATTGTCTTGTTCTCAGCTGTCAGATTCCATCTAGCACATAGGTGTTGTGTAATGCACTTCAGGGTAAGGGGTGTGCTTTAGAGCTGGCTTTCATCTTTACTACTGTTAATGATTTAATATTGTCAGCAAGTGATTCCTTTTGAGAGCAAAGTCTCCTTTTCCCACCCCATCTTTTTAATACTTAATGTAAAAGAGCAGGTTGCAGCAGGGAGATCCATGGAATTCAAGCTGCTATCTCCCTCCTTTGTGAAAACCAAGTGTACCATCTGCCTCATGTAATTATTTATCCATAAACACAGCTCTTCAGTTTTCTTGGAAACCCTGAAGTCTAGAATGCCTGTGTTAATTTATCCACATCAACTACCCTGGAACTGAAACGCATTTGTGGATATTTTTCCCCCTGAAACCTGTACTTTCTCAATAGATAACATTTATCCACGTTTGCTCACTTAGTTCTCTGGCTTGCTTTCTTACTGCCTTGCCCAGCGAAGGCTTTAGGATTATGAGTCTTAATTTGTGAAACCATCTTTAAAATTCAGCACTGTGTGCGATCTTCTGGTGTTTGTCTAACTTCAAGCAAGAGGCCACTCACAACTTTTAAGAGTTTAGCTGCTTTCTAAACAGTTCTTTCAGTCCTTCTGGTGTCTGATCCTAACCATTTGTTGCTGTTTGCAATGTGTGTTTGTTTTATGATGTTTTGTGAAGCTCCAACTCTGTAGGAAGTGTCCTGCTACCGGAGCACTCAGCTCTTCCACAGAACACTGCAGAAAAAACAATCAGATTTCGCTTCAGCGGTGCTTTTTGCATACAATAGTTTATTTGGAATTAGATAGGAAAAACTTAAAAGGAAACTGCAGGAAGTGACTTGTTTAAACAATTAGAAGTTGTTGAGCTTGTACCTGTTAGCAATCCTTGGTATGTCCTGGTGTGCTCATCCACTTCTTTTCCCTTCCTCATGTGTGAGATCTTCATAATATTGTGTGTTAGAGATCGTGCCTCATTAGTTAGATTATAGGACAGGGAGGAAGAGGGGAATAGGGAGGATATTCACTTGCCCATGTCCTGGCACACAGCCCAGAGCCTTAGACCAAGAGAAGAGTAGCTCGCTGGCAGACAGTTGGTAGCATAAGAAGTTGTGTGGTGCAGAAAAGCCTCTCGCTCTGTGTTCACCTTGCTCATTGTGGACAGGAGAGGTACCTCACCTGGATTCATGGGGTTATTTAAGGAAATTATCATCTGGGGTGATTGTGCCACTTGAAATAGCAAGGCTAGAGATGCTAACAGAGCTAATAGGCATGCTTTTAATGCACAGTAGCTAAAATTATTTTAGTGTCACCTGTTGTCTGGGCTATTGTGTTTTTTTCCCTTGTTATCAGAAGAGTTAATTTTTTGTGGGAAAAAAAAAAAGTCTGAAAAAAACTTCTTCATTTGGGGTTTTTTCTGTTATGAAACCCCAAAAAAATGCAGCCATGTGCCAGGAGTTAATCTTGCTTTCCCAGGGCGAATGTTTTAGTGTTTAATGACTGCTGACTTCTGTTGCAGTGGGCATTCCATACTGCCTAGTTGCATTAATCTTGCACTGCCCAGGAGTTTTATACGCTGGCCAACTCACCAGTTAAGCTCCTTAAGACTTGTTGCAGCACTCTTACCAGCACTCTGCTGTGTAGCAGAGATAGAGCAGCCTAACAGTTCCTAGCTAGTGGCAAGTTACAGCATTTGACTCATGCTACAAAATAAGAGAAACACACTATGAGATAAAAAGAGAGAGACTTATGTGAGTGGTCACTGTAAGGAGCGTAATCATGTTTAATTAACATGGTGATCAGCATTCCTGTAGCTGCTGACATGATACAGAGCTGTAAGAGCCACTTAGCCTAGTCATGTGACCCCCTATTACTCTGTTCAGAAAGTAGGTTGATATTTATCTGGACATTCAGACTCTAACATGTACCCAGATGAAGGCATGATCAAGTACTACGCTTTCACAATGCTAACATTGGGTTTTGCTCAGACTACACTGATGTCTTTTATTAGATACTACATCACAGTTCTACAGTAAGAGTGTGTTACTGGTGTAGAGGTTTTAAGCAAGATGCTTAAGTCTGTTGAAAACAGGACTATGCTGTTTTACCTTGCTCTCAGATACACTTGCCATTTTCCTTTGCTAAACAGTTATGGCAGAAGCAGTGGAAAAATGGAAAATGGAGAGAGAAGCACGACTTGCAAGAGGGGAGGAGGAGGAGGAAGAGGAAGAAAACATCTATGCTGTCAACGATGATGAGGTATGTGATGGCTGAGGTGATGTAACACTTCATAAGACTCCTAACACTACTGTCTTGGGCATAGAGTTATTTGCCCAAGAACCCTGTCTGCTTCTGCTTTCTCTCTGCCTGACTTAACTGTAGAACTGCCCTGTTTAGTGGAAATCAGCAGTAGAGGAGCACACTTGGTCCGAGTTTATAGAGGGGTGAGAGCTGGCAGCTGGGGAAGGCTTCTTACTGGAGTGTGAAACAACTAAGAGCTGAGACCTTGCTGTGATTTCACTGCCAGTGCCTGGAGTGCTGGTGCTGGGAGGGTGGTGTGGTGTTAGCACCAGTCAGTCCTGCTTCTGGGTACGAGCTGCACCAGTGACACCACAAGTGTCCTAGAACCATTAGGGTTGGGAAAGGCCAACTGTCAACCCAGCGCTACCATGACCACTAAACCATGTCCTCAAGTGCCACATCCACACATTTTTTTTAACCCCTCCAGGGATGGGGACTCCATCACCTCCCTGGGCAGCCTGGGCCAAGGCCTCATCACTCTTGTCAGGAAAGAAATTCTTCCTCATATCCAACTGAAACCTCCCCTGGTGCAACTTCAGCCCATTTCTTCTCATCTTATTACTAGTTACTGGGGAGAAGAGACCAACCTCCACCTCACTCCAGCCTCCTTTCTGGGAGTTGTAGAGAGCAAGAAGGTCGCCCCTCAGCCTCCTCTTCTCCAGACTCAACATCTCCAGGTTCCCTCAGCTGCTCCTCACAAGCCATGTTCCCCAGACCCTTCCACAGCTTCATTGCCCTTCTCTGGACCCACTCCAGCCCCTCAAGGTCTTTCTTGTCCTGTGGTGCCCCAAACTGACCACAGTCCTCAAGCTGTGGCCTCCCCAGTGCCAAGTCCAAGGGCTTGATCCCTGCTTCTGCTGGACACACAATTTTTGATCCAGGCCAGGATGCTGGTGGCCTTCCTGGCCACCTGGGCCCACATTGGCTCAAGTAGTTTGTGTACAGTAATTTTCATGCTGTCAGGGGTTGCCACGTTTGTAGTTGAATCCTGGTGGAGCAAGGCTCTGCTGATGCTGCAATCACTCCTAGGACACTGCTCTTGGTTCTTATTCTCTCTGCTCCCAACAGCAGTAAGAGAAGGGAGGGATGTTGCTACCATTCTCCAAGATCTGTGAAAGGGGTACTGGAAATTAGTTCTTATTTTGCAGTCTGTACCTAGGTGAATTTATCACAAAATTAAAAAGGAGATGGTCCATAAGGTAAAGCTGGTGGTTCCTTCAGTACCCTGTTCTGTTTGTATTGTCTCATGGTTTATAAGCCCAGCTCTCAGGGGTGAGAACGAAGCAGTGCAGAGCTGCGGAGGGAAGTGGTACATATATTTTTAAAGCCCTTGTTTTCTTCTTGTTTAGCTGGCTCCTCTTTTGTTTATAGCTTTGTTGTGGCAGCCAGAGAGAGATGGAAGAGGAGGGAATATAGCTTTACATTCATGCCTGTGGCACAGCAGAGGAAAAGCCATGTGAAGAGTAAAAGCAGTAATTCTGAAAATATCAAGGAGCGGGATCTGAATGTGATGCTTATCATATTCCTTTCTGGTTCATCCTTTTCACCTCATTCTGGTTTGTAGGGCTGATTGTGCTCTATCGGGCTCCCTCTGGGAAAGCAAGAAAAAGGGTTTTTTCGATAACCTCTTCTAAACTTGATGTGGTTTAATTTTTTTTCAGTCTGATGAGGAAGGCGGCAAGGATAAAGAAGATGAAGAAGGGCAACCGAAATTCATTGCGCATGTCCCAGTGCCAACTCAGCAGGAGGTAAGACGTGACAAAGTGGAGTTGCAGAGCTGCATGCTGGCTTTTGCAAGACAGAAGTGCTAACCTTTGGCAGGTCATTGGTGAAAGTGTCCTTGATTTGCTTGTTCTGTGATTTTACAGCTGGTTAATCCTCTTGCAAATGCTGTGGAATTGGTGAGAATTACAGTATCATTGCTGTCACCCTTTTCACCTGGGAATTTCCAGAATCTTCATGAGTATTAGACAACACCACAACAGCTTCCAATTTCTGTCAATGGTCTAACTTTTTTTAAGTTTAGTGGGATGATTTCTGAATTGCAGAGTTTGCTCACATAAGTTTTCTGAAATTATTTTGGTGGCATGGCCTTGAACTGACTGTTAGATTTTGAGACTGCTCTTGAGTGTGTATTAGGTTGACAGTTGACAGGTTGTTTGAAATAGAACTTGGGCAAGAAGGCTCTGGAGTTAGGTGTCTTTTGGTAGGGTACCTTTCCATCACATGTAAGGCTGTCTGTCCCCTGCTGCCATCTTGTCAGGTAATGATGTTGTATTCTCCTGTGAAGTCATGATCCTGCACATTCAGCAAAATATCCATATAATGGGTTCTCAAAACTGTGGGAGAGGAATCATGGCTGCAAACACTGCTCTGTGGCCAATGGGATTCTCTTAGTGAAAAGAGCATAACTGAGTCAGAACTGGTTTTCTAATACATAATCACTGATTTATGTAGCCATCTTTCCTAATTACACAGTAGTCAGTAATCTTTTATCTTTTTTTTAGTGGCAAATCACTCCATAACTTATGCCTGTGGCATTGTGCCTTGTGGAGTCTAACATATTACTGAGACTAAAGCAAGTCTTGCAGGTTGCTGTTAGTAGCTCTTTAAAGTACATGCTTGGTAGAGAATTGTGCATAGTTGGCACTGAGACAAAATTTAGGTGAGAGGTGTGTAGCTGCGGCTCCTGTGAAAGGCACACTCCCTAAACTGTTGCTCCAGGGCTGCGGACTAGTGTGGCATAATTCCATGTGCTCTGCATTTGTTAAAGCCGTGTCTGAGGCAAGTGTTTGAAACAAAATTCAAGTGACTGTACTGAGAGTAAAATAAAACAGCAGCTAATGTCCTAATTACAAAGGGTTGGAACATAGATCTGAAATGGAGGCATCTATTTTACTGCTGCTTTTGACTTCCATGAGCTTCAGGTGAGTATTAAAACAGATACTCCTTACTTGTCTTACTTAATTCAACTATTACACTGGTACACACCTCAAACCTTCACAGTCTGTTTCCTGTGGTTTTCTTTATCCTGTTTTAATAGCTAAGCATGCTAGTTCTCAGCATCTCACTCAAGCTGAATGTCATCCTGGTTTTGTATTTTCAGATTGAGGAAGCTCTTGTACGGAGAAAGAAGATGGAGCTTCTTCAGAAGTATGCCAGTGAAACCCTCATGGCACAGAGTGAAGAAGCAAAAACACTTCTAGGATTGTAAGGTTGCAGCAGTATGTCCTGGTTGCTGTGCAATCCATCTAAAATCAACAGGTGTTCTGGTAGTAATAACTTCTGGCTCTGGAAGTCCCTTTGGGTGTTAAGAGTAAACTGGTGAGGTTACAGTGTGTTCTGCAGGAGGAAAACCATCGTCTTGGTTTATCCACTGGGTTGACTTGAGTTTCAGTGTTGAAAAAGGTCAAACCTGGATTAACTTTTCTCTGTATCTGCAGCATCTGTCTTCAATCCTTTTGTGTTATAAAAGCCTCTTACAGCTAGAACCACAAACCCACTGACTCCTGAAGTCCTGATGGAAAACCATGTGACCTTACTGACATTCTGTTTGCTATACCCTGGCTGTACGGGGACACATCTTTCTCCTGTCAGTTTTGGCTGAGTCCAGAAGTAACTTACACTGTTACACCTGATTATTTTACCAGAATACCTGGCTTTGGGTCTTTATGCATTAAGTGTAAAAGCTGTTGTCCTTTTTGTGGTTTGTAACTGTGCCTGAGCGAATCGCTTCAATGCTGGATATTTCAGCAACTATTGTAATACTTCCAACTTAGGAATATCTTGCTCAAATATTTTTAGTAAAGCTTATTTACAAGCCTGAAGTCTTGTTTCATTCTAGTTCCAAGGATTGCATGTTTTCCCGTGTCATAGCCAAAGAATGGGATCATAACCAGTGATCTGTATAGGGCTTTGCAGCTCTGCACCCACTGCTGCTCTCAGCTTGTGTACGTGGTGCCCAGAGGCAGGTTACAGCAGAGCCTCTTCAGAGTCCTGCAGGAGACTGACATTGCCACACAGGTCTGAGTGAAGGCAATTCCCAATTGTAGCCATGCAGCAATAGAAGTGCTAAGGAATATAGTATTCAACCACCAAGTAACTGTGCCTGGGACTATTTAGAGTTTCTAGATGCTTTTTGTATTCAGTGTTATCTATTGTAAATAACCCACTCCAGAACAACCAGAGCTCTAAATTATGGAGACAAGCTTTGTCTTGATGTAAATGAGCAAACAAACAGTAAACCCTTCAAAGTAGCTGCCAAATTAGAATCTTGTAGAGAGAATGAATCAAAAATGAAGTATTGATAGCAAGCAGACAACTAACACTAAAAACAGATTCTTCTCCTGTTAGCAGCGTGGCTTTCTCCTTTGTAATAACACAGCGAATGAGGATGTTTATGACTTGGAATTATTAGTGTACTCTGAGTTGCAGACACCCCTCCAAACCCTTTTATTATTTTTTTTCTGCTGCCCCTTGAGTGTTTTCTGTTCTTGGGTGTGGAGAAGGTGATGTGTTTTTATCCGCATGCAGCAGAAGACATCACTGTTCCCAGAGGAGTTCCTTCCCTGAAGCCCCTGGCTACCAAGAATGGAAAACCAGGCTCCTTGCATGCTGGATCTACCACAACAGGTTTGTGTTCTGGCAGCCCTCGCTCAGACTTCACCTGTGGAAAAGATTAGTATGTGAAGGATAAAGCCTTTGTTGCCTGGTAGTAAGCCACCAAGTCCCTGGAGCTGAAGAAAGTGGCAGGCTGCTAAGTCTTTATCACGCTTCAGAGGAGTGTTGGCCACCAAACTGTAGTATGACCAGGGCAGGGGGTACACAGCACTGACAATAAAACTGAGGCAGCCACATGCGATTGCCAAAAAAAGGCATTTTGAGTTACAGCTCTGATGAGAACAGCCCCTTGCCAACCACGCTTTTGCTAGACTGTATGGTTTGGGTTTTTTTTCGGTTGGGTTTTGGTTTTTTTTATTGTTGTTGTTCAGTACAACACTTCTTCTAGGAAAAGGTTGATTGGGAGAGGGATGCCAGTGTTGCTGTAGATTTGCTGAACTATGCACTGGAGATAACCAAAGTAGATTTAGGGGGGGAAAAAAAACAGCTAATGTTTGTGGCCTGGGAGTTAGATAATACCGGTAGTTAGACTCATACAATCGTTCTGGTTGGAAGACAGCTTTCATATCATCAAGACTGACTGTTACCCCAGCACTGCCAGGTCCCTGCTGTACCATGTCCCTCAACACCTCATCTGGTTGATCCATTTGGTCACAAGAAGAATCTACAACAAAGAAAACAGAAGGGTAAAGGCAAATCAGGGACAGAGTGATGATGACAGAAGACAGAATAAATGCAAAGGATGAGGGAAAATTGAGACAGTGCAGTAATTGTATTGATGGTCAAAGGAGTAGCTGCCTGCCCTGATCAAGGCCAATATAATGACAGCAATAGAGAAGTTTTTCAGGCAGTGCTGATCTCTGAGATGAAAAAAATGTACAAAGATATGGTACAGAACTCTGCAGTGCAAACTGTGTCTCCTGCTTGAACCCACTGTACTGAATGTTCACTCTAGCTCTGAGCAGTTTGAAGCTGAATGCTCATTTTTGGCTGCATCTGAGCCAAGGAGCAGCAGAGTGGCCTCCAGGAAAACACACATGTTCTGCTTGTGGTCTGGGCTGTGCAGCCACCAGTGGAGTTGGGGCTGGGAAGTTCTCGTGGCCAGAGTGAGGACACGTGTTGTGGTGAGCAGAGCCCGCCCTAGGCAGGGATCGGCGTACGGAAGATCTCGCGATGTAACGGAAAGCTCAGACTGCCCACGAGGGGCCTTGTGGGCGTGGCTTGTCATATATAAGCAATTGCAGCGATGCAATAAACGCCATTTGCAGCATCCTTCACATTGAAGCCAGTGTCTGTGATGGTACCCAATGGTAGAGGTTGGGTGGCAGCTATCCCGGGGATCGGGTGTCGGTAACGACAGACACGGATCTCGGAGCTGGCGTTGGAGGACAGAACGGTGTGTAGGCTCGGGGCTGGCTCTTGGGTGGGGTGGAGCTGTTCTTAAATGAGAGGTGTGTTGCTGGGCTTATAGTTCATACCATCAACTTTCAGCATAAATGTCACTTCATACCTGCCTACAGGTAGCTTGTTCTGTGTGCCCCAGTGTCCTGCACCATGCATGGTCTTTGCTTGAGCTCTGAGGAGATAATCCTCTTAGTTTGGTTCTCTGCATCAGTTTTGCTTTGTTTTTGTTTCAGATGCCAGCTGTGTCAGTGGTGCAGACTGGAAGACACTTTCCTTGTTCCTAGTCTCTGGCAGTTGCTGCAGGATCAGTTTCCTCCAGGAGTCAGAGAGGGTGGTGAGGAACATTTGTTGGCAGTACTAGGGAATAAGTGGATTTACCTAATCTGCATTAGCAGATGAGCAAGATACATAGAGATGGCTTTGCATAGTATCCATTAACTAATGATATTTTGGGCTAATTTTCTCACTCTCAAGTCTAGCTGCTGGTAAAAAGTAAAAACCTTTGCAAAAGCGATCTAAGACACACAATATGCTTTTTTCCAAAAAACATTGATTCCTGAGGAACTCGAAAGAAGATCAGATTTATTATTAAAGAGAAAATCAGTTATTTACTTGGTTGAAACTTTGTGCTACTCTTTGTCCTTTGCTACTAATGTGGCAGAACCTCCTGATGAGTTGGAGGAGGGTCAGACAGCAGAGCTCTTGGGGTGGCTCTTGGCCTTGCAGCCACTCCTCAGCCCTCTCACTGCAGTAGAGGACATCTGGGCTGCTCCACAGACGTTTGCTGGGTGCCATGGTGTGAAATGTTGGCACAAACCCTGGGGGCACCTGCATAAGCAAGAAGTGCTCCAGATTTTGTGCTGCCAGCCTGCTCACTCTGTGGGTGTTATTAGCTTTGTGATGGAGCAGGTGTTTGTTTCTGCTGCTGTGGCCCATGATGCCAATGGCATGAGGTTCAATAAGGCCAAGTACTGAGTCCTGCACTTGGATCACAACAACCCCTTGCAGTGCTCCAGGCTGGGCGAAGAGGGTCTGGAAAGCACCAGGTAGAAAAGGGCCTGGGGGTGTTCGTCGACAGCTGGCTGAACATGAGCCAGCATGTGCCCAGGTGGCCAAGAAGGCCACCAGCATCCTGGCCTGGATCAGCACTACTGTGGCCAACAGGACCAGGGCAGGGATCGTCTGTGCTCAGCACTGGTGAGGCTGCCTCGAGTAGTGTGTTCAGTTTTAGGCCACTCAGTTCAAGAAGGACCTTGAGGGGCTGGAGTGTGTCCAGAGAAGGGCAATGCAGTTGGGGAAGGGTCTGGTGAGAAGCAGCTGAGGGACCTGGGGGTGCTGAGCCTGGAGCAGAGGAGGCCCAGAGGAGACCTTCTGGCTCTGCACAGCTCCCTGACAGGAGGCTGGAGCCAGGTGGGGCTCGGGCTCTTCTCCCAGCTAACAAGTGATAGGACAGGCGGAAATAGCTTCAAGCTGCACCAGGAGAGGTTTAGGGCTTTGGGAAAAACGTCTTCTGTGCCAGGCTGCCCCGGGCAGCGGTGGAGTCCCCGCCCTCCGAGGGGTTTCCAAGCCGTGGAGATGCGGTGTGAGGGCAGGGGCCGGGGTGCCCTGGCAGCGCTGGGGCTCGGCTGGGCTCCGGGCGATCTCCCGCCCGCCCGGTTCTGTCGTTCCACGGCTCCGCGTCACGTCACACGCCGGTTCCCCGGGCTCGGG